GACATAGCACCATGAAAGAGTCTTTATGAATGTCTATGACTGTTGTCAAGAAGTGTCATTTGGTAAGTAATGACTCTTTTAATGCAAAGTTGCTCTACAAGTTGCATTGAAAGTTCACTAGAAGTGCCAAATTTGCATTAGAGTGTCATTATTTACAAAACAATGCAAAGTTGGCACTTTTAAAGCAACTTTGCATTAAAAGTGTCATTACTTAACGAATGACAACCAATTTGACGGGTTATGAATGTTTCTAAAGATGTTCATGACAGATGTTATGTCAGCTTTATGGACACCCGGTCAAATAACATGTTACCAAAATAAATATTAAAAATAGACAAAGATCTGTGTGCTCAGGTAAGATCAGGTAAATGTCTACATGAGTTTATTTACTTTTTACTAATATGGCTGAGGATGAGTTTCGTGCAATGTTTCACTGTTCTTTGTATTGTTATTCAAGAAATAGTTCGCTCATGAAAATGCGACAGAGAAACCGTAATGTTGAACAGACTTTTGTTTCTGAAGCATGTATTGAACATGCTTGGCAACAAAGACGGGGAGTTTTATATTTCTCACAGCTCATTAGTTTTGATTAAATTAAATTTTTCAAATGTTTCACCATGTCCGAGAAGACGCCATCAGCTGTCTTGCAAATACATGTGATCTGAAAAAAAACAAACAAACAATACTTTAGACATTTCGTCTAACTTTTGTGTTGCTGCTACCACATTTAAGCGCCCGAGCACATCCCAAAAATTTTTAAAATAGTTTGGACGGAGAAATATTAACCAGAAGAACAGAATATTTTTCATAAAGCTTTAAAATCGTCAGCAGGATTGCAATCAAAATTTATTGAATAGGATTTACTGAAGAGGCTGAATCTCTGAGGTACGACCGCTGGAAAGAGATGCACAGTTTCTTCATTTGTGAGTGAGAAATGATTGAAATCATCATCATCACCACTTGTCATGAGCTCAAAAACTGCCTGGAAACGCACAGCGAACAACTGAAACGTTCATTCCCCCGATGATGTTGCAAAATATTTAATCGCTGGCAGAAGAAGAAGAAGAACAGAAGGTCTTTGAGTGCAGGAGGAGACAGAGCAAGTGTTTCAAAAAAAACCCATCCCTCCTTTTAGTGAACTGAAATGAGAGATTAAAACCAGATGACGCCGTTTATCTCCCAGCTTGATTGTATTCTGGCTTCATTTCAATTAATTCTTCAAGAAATCTCGGGGAAGATCATAAGATAAACGCCAGCGATCCCTCACAGGCAGAAACTACGGGAACAGTTTGGAAGAGCACTAAAATACAAATGCCAACAGATGCTAATTAGGTTTTACTTTTCAGAAAGGACGCCGTGTGGAGATTCGCTCCAAAACTGAAAACATCCATCAGCTGGGAAAATTAGTTGCGCAGCGTAAACGTGTTAATGTCTGACTGATAATCGAAACCAGCCATAAATTCCTTGTGTTCTCGTAACGCTTCAGTCATGAAACTCAGTCTCCCTCCAAAGTTTTGGAAGTCTTTTTGTCAGGTTCGGTGTTTTTCTGTGTTTTATTCTGTTTCTGTGTCCTGAGTTCTCCTCGTTGTCCTGTCTTCCCCTTGATTGTCCCCAGGTGTCTTATTCCCTTGATTACCCTCAGTGTATTTAGTCCCTCCTGTGTTCTTTGTTCCTCGTCGGGTCCTTGTCGTACTTTTGTTGTCAGTCAGATTGTCGTCGTTGTTGTTTTTTTGTGCCGCCCTTAAGACCAGTTGCTACCGGTGTGAGCCCTGGCTTCTGCTCAGCCGTGCTGCCTGGCCGCGGACTACTGTTTGGACTGTTTTTGTGGATTATTTTTCATTAAATTACTCGCCATTCAACTTACCTGGGTCTCTAGCGTCTGCCTCTCCACCTCCACCACCACACTTTATGACAGAAGGACCCGACCAGAAATACGGTGAGGCTCGCTGAATCTGATCATGGACCCAGAGGGTTTAGAGGAGCTACTCCGAACCATCCGTGAGTATGAGGAGTCAAAAACCACGTCCACGTTCGCCCTGAGACGGCTAGGTTCGCGATACGCCTGGGTATGTTGCTGGACTACTGGGTTCCACGTCTCCAGCACCACGCGCTGGTGGAGCTGCAGCGGGAGGCAGAGGAGATACGCCAGACAGCCTTCGCGGCCTGGGATGCTAAACCTCTGCCTCCCAGGCCAGACATCCGCTCCGGCAGCCCAGCCCCAGCTCCAGCCTCTGCTCCTCGTGCCGCTCCGCCGGACCCCGCTCCGGCTGCCGCTCCTGCTCCGCCGGATTCCGCTCCGGCTCCTGCTCCTGCCACAGAGAAGCATCACATTTTCACCCAAAACCTCTTTGGAAATCACCGTATTACACAACAGTGTGTTCAGTCAGAGGCAACGTTGTAAAACAGACTGCTATAGGAAACACTGTCTACCCACACAGTGGGTGATGACTCAGTCCACTGTGGTCACTTCAAAAAAGGAACAAAAACAAATAAACAAAAAAAAAATGTAACATGATCTTCCTTCACCATTTATTTAAATACCATTCCAAAAATGGCCCCTGCTGCACACTGGCAGAACGGTAGATTGGCAGATAAATGTCTAGTTAACTTGACTGGTTGTTGTAAAGTGCAATACAATTATTTCTTAATACAAGTTGCATAATGACTTGAGTTGAACAAAATTGTTCTGATCAAATATTTGTTTGGCAGAAATTTATACAGCCTGTTGTTCAGAATGCATCATTTAATGTACAGTTTTAGGCACATGACTGTCACTTTTCACTTAATGGGCATTCAAAATTATTTCCAACCCGAAACTCTGGCTTATGGCTTCAGAAGTTTATTAATAAATAAATAAATAGATTAAACACCAGTTTTACATTTGACAAATCTTAGTCGTCTAAAAGGTAACTGGTGTTTGTTGATTTCTGCTCCCTGTCCCCAGTTACCTGTCCCCTCACCTGGAGAAAACAGCAACACAAAAATGACTTGCCTAATTTTCTTGGGGAATATTTCATCTGCTTCTTTCTCTTTGGTCAAACAGGGACTTCTTTCTCTGGTAGCTGGTCCTCATTAGCATCCTCCACACCTGTAGCATGTCTCCATTAGCCACCTTTGTCCATCCCGCTGGTCACCATGTGTCCTGGGGCTAAAATGGGTCTTCATGTGCCTAAAGTTGCCAAAGCAAAAAGCACAAGCACATATCACATGAGCCAAGTTGCTAAATAATGCACATAAAGGGTAACATAACGTTAATATAAGTTGCATACTGCCGCTTTAAGAGCAGATTCTCTGTATTCACTCTGAACAGTCAGTCCAATGGCTTCTGGCCAGGATCCACTTTACAGAGCGTGGAGCTCGGAGAGGGGACGGGGTGAGGACACACGGCAGGACAGACAGACACGCAGAGCTGCACTCTCAGCATCTGGTTGAGAAATCAGGGCTGCTTCATTAGGAGGCAGCTCATTGCAACAGTTTGACTGGAAATCCTCATAGTCTGGGTCTGCTGCCAGCGTGGAGAGGAATTAGCTCTCTGGCTATGACTTTGTCCAGATTTTTTTTTTTTTCTTCTTTTTGCACAAGAATAGCAGACCTGCAGACTGATCATCTCAACACATGAATCAGTGTCCTGCCAAGGCATCTGGAAAAGTGACGACACTCCGCCTCTCTGGCCGTGATTTCACTGTTATGTTCTGCTATTGCATGGGAATGACAGAAGGGGGAGCTCTTAATAAGTATGTGACTAAGATGTGCTGTATGAGGAGAAGAAGAGAAGAGTAAAGCGAGAAGTGAAGCTGAACTACGTCTCATGTTGCTTATTTTCTGCTATTTGAGTACAGCAACACCACAACACACTGGAGCCATTTCACATTTCTACACATCAGAGGCCTGAGTTTTCTGACATTTGCTCTAAGAGAGGAAATGAAAGACAACCCAGAACTAGAAGATCGGTTTTAGAAGGTCTGTGTCCTTCTGCTCCATCTGCAGCTGATTCCTGAACCAACCTGACAAATTTATCCCTCAGAGGAAAATCAATTTAAACTAACAACTGACTGGTGCGCAGGGGTCTGCAACCCTCTGTCCAGCTGAATGAAACGTGTTTAGGGCCACAAATATTACATAATCTGGGGGAAAAAAATGTAGCTAATAATTTCTTTGAAATATCTGCTGTAAAAATGTGTTATCGCGTTTCAACCATCACTTTATTTCCAACCATCACTTTATTTCCTTTTTCTTAAACAAAGAGAAAATCCCAAAAATATTGCAATGTATTTTCTTCTAAGGAATGTTTATATTTGTAGAAAATGCGATTAAAATCCATAATTGTCTCTAAGTGTGTATCTGCAGGCTGATGGCGCTAAAAGAAGCACGTCCAACCCAATGACAAAAAAAACCAAGGTTGTTTTGGAGTCTTTTTTTGTGGAAATTTAATCCAACCACTCAATCAAAAACAAAACAAAACAAAAAACATTTTTAAACTGTTAAAGCTTGGATTTTATATTGCATCTTTATTTAGCTGGTTCTTTATGGTTTGCTTTTTGTTATTACCAGACAAAGTCATTCAGAGCCACTTGACTTCCGGCTTCATCTCTCCATCTTCCTCCAGACAAATTCAGGCGGTCGGACATAAACACTCCTCCCTGCCTGTGGTTCTGCAGCTTCTCCCCGCTCGCAGTGAACCCGCCAGGCTCCGCGTCCTTGCAGCGAGCAGCGCGGCCCCGGCGGGTCGTGGTTAGGGGGCGTCCTTCACAAAGGAAGCAGCTGCTCTCCTCCCATTCGCTGAAACTGTAGGTGTGTCGACGGAGGGGCGTGCGCATGTGTGTGTGTGCGTGCGTGCGTGTGTTTTCTCGTCTTTCCCTCGTGACGCCACTTCCGGAGGGGTGGGAGCGCCGTGTCTCTGCTGCGCGTGGATGTGTTGGGGGGTCTTTGACAGGAGAGGCGGCGGTGGCACAGCGGGGAGAAAGCGTGGACGTAATCGGCGTCAGGGACGGAGCCCCCCCCGAACCGCCCTCCTCTTCTTCTTCTTCTTCTTCTACTTCTTCTTCCTCCACTCAACGACCCCGCGTGAGCCGAGCGAGGTTTTCCAACCAGGGAGATGATGGCTGCGTTGGACCGCTCTAAGGTACAAATCTACATTTTATCCAGTCAGTCCTCCTGCAGGAGCTGAGACGTTTCCATCAACTTAGTGAATGTTCTGGTTGCGCACCGAACAAATGCACTCATGAACTTGCGAGTTCGTTCGGCTCAGACTTCTGCACTTTGCCAAAAAATAAATAAATAAATGCTGCAGGAATCTGGAAGGATCGGCATTAATGTTGCAGCTCTATGGTGGCTAAACAGGTTCTGGTTAGTACGCCTGCGCAGCTTGCTCATCGATAAGGCATCACTCTGTGATGTAAGATCTTCGTTATAAAGCCAAACAAACACTGTCTGCGGGCTTGTTGTCACTCTGTCTGTTAAAACTGCTGCAATTAAGGAAGAGGAGCTAAACGCTGATTGAATTCACACATTCATACAGCAGAGAGTCCAGCTGCATGTTGGACAGAAAAGCAAAAGGTGCCATTCCATTTGTTTTCCTCCATCAGCCTTAATTGGGAATCAGTGGTTTTGAAATATTGTTTTCCTTGATCCAAAGCTTCAGCTTTCTGTCTGTAGTCAGCTTGTACTTTGATACACGCTTTTGTTTGATTTTACTTTATTTTCCTCTTGAAAAAAAAAAAACAAAAAGTGGCATTTACCAGGAAAATAATTACTAAAGTTGATGTTTGGGTAACAGCATGTGGAAGATGTTTTCAAAATTCACATATTATTTATACATTTTATTTATTTATGGGTTTTTGCACATGTTCTCATGTTTTCAACACTTCTGTGTTTACTTTTTACCACTTTAATGTCCGTTTTCCCACTTTTGTTCCCGATGAAAATGATGACCAATCCAAAACAAAATCCTTGGAAACATCACTGGTTAATGTGTAGCTTACGGTTGGCAACTCCTTCATAACCCTGAGACCGACCCATCTTTCTCTAAGTCACTCGTGTTCATGTTTGACACATTCAGGTGCACCGCAATACATTCACACATCTTAAAAAAAAGTACTTCCTGTAATTCAGTCCTCCAAGTGACTGAATTACAAACGTACATGCAGTTAGACAGAGTTCAGATGATTATTATTATGATTATAAAACCCCCCCAAAACTATATTTTTCAGAAAAATGCAGCACTGCTGAAGAGTAACAACAAACAGATTTTTATTGCAGAAATGATGCTGTTTTTTTTTTTCTATGTTATAGTTTTTATAATCGCTGAAAGCAGTGTCTGCCTTGGCAGTTGTCCACCAGTGGACAACACTAGGGTGTTGTACTGTAAAGTTGAGTGGAAGGAAAACCCGTCTTGTGTTGGTCCAAACAAGCAATTAGATACGGCCAACAAGTGGGACAAACAAGAAGAAAACAAAACTGATTTCTGAAGAAGCTGTTTCTTGACAGAGTGCTTTATTAAAGCGTAATAAGCGGAGGGAGAAAGTCCCTACACTTTTTCATTTGCAACTAGTCACAATTTAACTTTTAGATAGAATGGAAGAAATTGGTGAGACATTTTGCTAATAAATTGAATATAAATATGTTTTTTCTGTACCCGTCCCCCCGTTTTCAAGAAAAAAAAAAAAGCTCTGACAATGTTTTTCACTCTTATGTCCAGATAAAACATAATTATCTTACGACCGTTCTTAGAACGAATGTCACTCAACTGGTTTTCTGCAGGTTAATAGTGAAGAAGCAAACGTAAACAGCGATCAGTAAGTACCAACAAATAGTACAAAGACAGGATATAAAATTCAGTTCAATTTATGATGACATTTCACATATAATGGAAAATGACAAAAGGGTCCAAGCTAAAATGAAGTCGCAAAACTCACAGGAAATGTAACAAATAGACAAACTAAATACTGAAATATACTAAGTATATACTTAGAAATAAGACAGTATATACTTAGAAATAAGACAGAATTTGAAGATCAACTTTCAATTACAAACTTGCATCAGAAACGTTCTTTACATTTGGTCCCATGAGGTTTGCTTAGACTTAAAGTCAGACTCCATGTTGGCGGTGTGTCCGCCTGCGGTTCAAAGATCACCTTATCTAAAACTGAGCCTTGTTAGAAATCCGTTTGTACTTGTGTAATCTATCAAAGAGATGGCGTCTTTTGTTGGTTGGTTGGTTTTTTTCTTTCTGTTCTCTACTGTTATTAAAACAAACACGATTACAGTCCTGGAAATGTGACAGAATCTCCTAACCAAGCCCCGATCAAGCACTAAGGTCAAATTCTGTTTATTTTTAACTAACAAGTGATAACCAAGTAGGTTGCGTCACTGCAGAAGGTGAGATGTGCAACTTATGTATTTTTTGCTTCCCAGACGTTTTACTGGCAATTTTGAAAAATTGTTTATTGGTCACACTGTTGTGTTTTTTTTTTTTTTTTGGGGGGGGGGGAGGGGGCAGAGGTTGAGGGGGCTGTTGTTTTGTGTAGAAGCAACCATCATACTTTACAGCGTGTCCTAACAGTGTCAATTCAGAGCCCTCGACTATAAATAGTAGCAGGCATAAGCTAAAAATGTAGCCTCTCCTTTTATTTTACTAAAGTGTGAGGTGTTTAGATTTAACATTGTCATGTTGGACGATGTCTTTGGGCTATCAAGTTACTTTTCTAAATGTATAATAGCTCCAAAAAGAAGATTGATGAATTAAACTGTTTGCCAAAAATACTTTGTCAAAGCACCTTCTGATTTATTTTCAGCATTGCGACTTCCTTATTTTCTCTACGTTGAACTCTTTATTCTGAGTTAGTGAAGCTTCCTTTAGCTAAAGTCATAGTTTAGAGAGACACTAGATATGAAATGAAGGTGTCCTCTTGGATTTAGGGTCGTAATTCAGGTATAGTTTGAGTATTAGGGATGTCAGTGATCTGCATTAAAAAAAGACAAAAAAAAAAAAACACTTGCCATGGTTATGCATCATCATAACAACTAATCTAGCTGAGAAATCCTCTCAGCAGCTTCTAAAACCAGAGGGAATATTGTCAAAGGATTCAAACCCTTTGAGAAAGCAGTACACGCCCCTCGCCTGTGGTGGCGCTGCATCAACAACCGCTGAATGGAACGATGCAAACCCTCTGAAGAAGACACTGAACGTAACCTTCTTCTTCATCAAATGTAAACCAAACTGAGACGGCGAGAGATTTAAGCGGTTGTAGAATTTTTCTTTAGTATTTGGCAAAAGCCATTTCTCATGAATTATTTCATTAAATCCCCAAAAAAAAAAAAAGTTTTCTAAGTTTGGGATTTTGGCCCTGGTTGCAGAAAATTTGGACACCAGTACACAGTTTACCATTTAACTGACCATATCTGAGCTTTTATTAGAAAAAGTGCAGTAGTTTGGCGTGAATACTTTCCCTTTTTTTTGTTTTAATTTGTACCTCTCTTCAGGCTTCTCTTGGATGCTGAAGAGAAGCATCCATGTTCGCACATGAAGGTTGAAGCTGCAGCGCAGTTATTGCTTTTTTATCACAAAAGGAAGCGTCTCGGTCGCCAACTTGACTTTTATATCGACTTTATTTATAAAAAAAAGCCCACTGGGAATCCATCTGGCTTTCACAATCACTCCCTACTGGCCCGCTGAGCATTATTTATATACCATGGCACAATAACTGCAGAAAAAAAGTTGGACAATAGCGACATTACATAAACCTCCAAAGCAATCTTGCAAAAAGCTTTTAGGGAGGCTATCATGAGGCACTGCCGAAGGAGGTGGATTGGGTTCACCGTGACACAACGCTCTCCTGTCTTCTCCATATGTCTAGGTTAAGGGGTAAGGTTGCAATACAGAAGTTTTTTCTTCCAAAGAAAACACACAGGCTTGAGTAAGATCTCCCTGAACCTGGAGAGAAGGAGAAAGTGTTGTGATTATACAAAACCGACCCGTAGCGTACGTAGTCGTGTAACATCCTCGTCGCTGAGAAATGGTGGCGGTATAATGAGAATGTGGAGATGGTGGGTTTTGCCAAGTAAAATTTCAAACAGTAGTCAGTTTTTGCTCCTGAACTTCATGCTAGAAAGTTGAATCTAACGTTCCTTTAAAATAAAACAAAAGCACAGCAGATAACTGACTATTTCAACAAATTCTTTCACATGTAGATACAAGAAACCAACTGGGTTCCCAGGAGCTTGCTTGTTTGAAAAAATAGAAGATGCAGTTAGTCACTAAAACATTCAATTTCAAGGGAAATTTATTTTTGCACTAAAACTGCCAATATCTGTTGCAGTAGAATACTCTGCTAATGCTAAATTTACTTAACTCGAACGACAACTCCCAGAAGCTAACGCTAAAGCCCTAAATATGTAAAACAGTTTGCGGAAGCTAATACGAAACCGCTAAACACATAAAACATTTAGTAGAATCCAACTGCTTAAAACAATCAGCGAAAGCTAACGCTAAACCGCTAAGCAAATAAAATAATCTGCAGAGGCGAATGTTAAAACGCTAAACACAGAAAATTTGTTAAAGCTAATGCTAACCGTTAAGACGACTGCCTCGCAGTCTGTCACTCGTCTTCATGTCCTTCCATTTGACAACTGGTTTGAGAATCACAAACAGCAAAGTCCTCTGTTTCTGATTTAGCTACGTATTGTTACGTTGAAGTTGTGCGAACAGGATGAGCTCAAAACATGTGATGAGACATATAAAGTTCATGGAAGTCGTGAAAATGGGAAACATGAAGCGGTTTTCATCCTGACATTTAAGTGGCTAATGGTAAATATAGTAAAAATATATGACCTGAAGGTCAAGCATCAGAAGGTCGAAGCATTTATGTGTGTATCCAGACTTTAAAGATTTTCACAGTACTCTGCTGCACCCATTGTGGCGTTTTTAGATATTTTCCCTCAAATTTGTCTCGTTGAATTCTGCAGGATGCACATTGATGTGAAAAAAGAAAAAGGTCTCTTTTGTTTTTTGTTTTTTTGACTTTACACCTCTTTTGAAAATAACAAATTTATTGATCTCCCAAATAACCAGAAGAAAATTCAAATGTGAGCATGTAGTCTCAAGACACTGCTCAGACTTTACTG